CCCCAAAACCCCAAAACCCCAAAACCCCAAAACCCCATTCAGAGAGGATTATGTTGAATTTTATTGGAAACTTCTTTATTCTTCATCCTCTCCAAAATCAAACTCGTATTCCTCAGTAGCGATTGGTTTGAAGTGTTTTAATGGCGTAAGGAGATCTTTTTCATCTGCATATAATACAACATTTCTGTTGAAGAATTTCACCATAAATTGCTTACATTTCTTCAAAATATCATCTGTAACCTCACCGTCATATGTAATATTAATATCGAGGATAGGATATTTACCAAGAACTTCGAGAAGCTCATCAAGATCTTCTTCAAAGGCAACTTTGAGATTGACCTTATTGATATATCTATACCATAAAAGAGGTTTCAAAATAAATAGCGTACCTTTCGTTCTGATTTACTGTACTAGAACCCTCATGGGCCTTAAGTAAGTTGTCTAAAGACTGAACTCTTTCCTTATCTAAATAATAAAAGCAGTTCAATGAGTCAATTCTGAGGTGTGAGTATTCACTTTCAAGCAAGTTAAAGAACCCATCCAAGCTTTTTACCAGCAAACTTGAGCCAATATCTATCTCCACAGAACAATCTTTTGGGATAATTTGGGTGCTTGCTTCTGTTGGAGGAGATAAAATTGTCCATGGCTGCTGCTCTTTTAAAAGATTACTACAGTCTGCAGATCAAATATTTTTAATAAGTTCGTCATCATGAATATTTTTCAAAATTACAGGATCAGGGATACGCATCTTTACAAGGTCCTCACCCTTGAAAAGGATGCCATAAGAGGTAATAGATTCTAAAGGATATGGAGAAAACTTCTGAATCTGCTTATTCTCCTGAAAAACCTTCTTCACATCAACCTCAAGAGACTCCTCCTGTTCCTTAATCACTTTACCATAAACCTGATCTGCAATACTCACATAGACAAAGCCGCCTCCTACCATTTTCACCTGAGTCGTACGTCCCACATTAAAACTACAATCTCTAAAAGACACAGTCTTCGCCTCATCATCCTTCACTGTCACCAAAACCGCTTTCTTCACCCAAAAATGATTCTTAAACATCCTTTGACCTACCTTGCCCAGGCCCTTCTCTAGCAAGCTGACAAGTAGAGACACTGGATTTGAACTGTTTGAGAAGAATAAGGGTTTGGATAGGAACCAAGTCTAAAGTTAGAAGGGGGAATACTGATAGTGGCGCAGGAGAAGTGGAGGTGGGGTAGGTGGGGCATTTTGGAGTTGACTGATTCTATTACTTCAATGAGGCCTGACTCTGGAGCCCTATTTTCACTATTTGATGGGAAAATAATTTCAACAAGCTTTAGATTCCTATTCTGATCTTCACCAAGAGGAGGAATTTTCTTAAAATCATTTATACAGTTTTCCTCAAGAGTGATATAACACACATTCGTATACTGCATCGATAAGATCTCCTTCTTATCAGGTTTTTCATTAAACCCAGTAGGCATCTGAGTAATCCTGCTATCTAAACCCAGTGACGAAGAACCCTACCAATACAGATCAGGTCTTCCTCTTCTTGCTTAATTAATAGTAAAAGCTTCTTCCTGAAACCTGAACAGAGAAGGAAGCTTCAGGATTTTGGTCGTCAACCAGTCCTCCTGGATTAGGGAGCTGGATAAGTGGCTTTGGCCTACAAGGAAAGTTAGGTTGAAGGATAGGGAGTTTTAGAGGTGATAGGAGGATTTTAGGTAGACCTTACCGATGCATCTATATGGTTAGTAGGGAGATTACTCGAGGAAAGTTGTGATGAACTCTTCCATTACATATTTCTTCTTGAATTTTGGGAGATTAACCTTAAGTGGTTACAGGAAGTTTTACCTGAGTGATTTCAAGAAATTTCGCTTTTGAGATACTTCCCTCCTATATCGATAAATATTTTGTACAGAAATTTTTGAAAAGACTATTGAAATATGTGACTAATGTGGAGAATAGCCATAACAATTAGAAGCAAAGAAACGCCAGAAATTAGTGCTCACCTTAGAATTTGCTAAGAAGTCATAAAACCTTGTAACATCACTCATCTTGTTAAACGTCAGTACAATTTTAAACATGGCGTATCTGTAATGCTGGTCAAGATACTCAAGCACTTCTAAATCAAATATTAAAACTTTAGAATCATCTCAACACTTTCTTCATAATAAGATACAGTTTAAATTTTATTTTGGCTCAGATAAGCTCTTTGCCAAAGATTTTGTTTTAAGAAATATCCTACTAATCAAGCTTAACCATCATGGAAGCCAGAAAGTAGTATTAATGCTTCATGGCTGATATTTAGGAATTACTTAAACAAGCCATAAACAGCAATCTCAATAGAAGTTACCTTTATTATCAACATGAATTTCCCTTTTGACCTGGGACAGGTTCTTAAACCATTTCTCAATATCATCGTTCCAGAGTTTCCTTGACTCACTTCTGAGCTGGGTCATCAGCTGTCTGCATTGCTCGGCATATCCATAAAATGGTAAAATCTCATTAGTAATCCCAATTTTGGTAAATATAGTCTTTGATAAGTCTAAAGTCTCCATGAAAGATTTGGCTCAATAAATTATAAATAAAAAGGGGTTTTGGGGTTTTGGGGTTTTGGGGTTTTGGGG